GTCATCTGACAGCTGCATAGTCCTAAATGACAGGCGAAAGTGGGGAGCTACTTCAGGGCATTGTCCCCCTTTCCTGTTATTTTCTTCCTCTTCTGCATCTCTCCCAGATTCTCTGTTCATCTGCAGCTGCTACTGAAGAGCCAGGCTGGTTCTTCCTTTTCTCCCACGTAGGTACTTGTACCGAGCCTGCCGTACCTCCTGAAGTCCCATTGCGTAGCACGCATCGGGGGCAACTTAATCTAAACGCCTGAGACCTGGAGGCTGTAGGCACAGAGAGGAGCGTATGCGCTAGTACGTGGCGGGGCCGTGCTGGCCTGACGCTTTGTGTGCAGCGGCTCCTTCGGTGCGGGGATCAGAGTTGCTCGTGACAAATTGTTTATTAGAAGCTCGTACACGCGAGTAGGTGCTGGGGGCCAAGGGTAGCTCCCCTGCTCCTGGCCTTGAACGGGAAGGACAGCGAGAAGCTTGCACGTGATCTGGGATCAAGCTTTTCCTGCCCTCTTTAAGAGCAAGGCTGGCAGTGGGGTTTGCCCCTCTGGAAAAGTTTGAATCCTGGAGGCGAGTTAACCCGAATACCCCGCCAGAGAGCTGCCGCCGCTGTCCCACGGTTCTTCGTTCCGTCTCGGCACGAGTGCTTGCTTGCAGCTTGCTCGGTTCGGGGGGGAGACGAAGCCAGGAGGCTTGCTGTCAGAGAAGATCTGCGAAATCTTTGTTGCAGGGAGTTTGCCTCTCCTTTCGAAAGGTAACCAGCTGTGCTCTCCCTGCCCCGAGTTCGGCTCTAGTTCTGTTCGCAGGGCAGCGGCGAGTGCCAAAGCTGCTCTGTGCACCATGGAAACCATGAATTAATGCCTTTTGGCGTTAACTCTTCCACTACCAGAAGTAGCGTTTCTGCCTTCTCCCTGGAGAGAGGGAATGATACAGTTTTTAAATGGATCCTTCTATCTTTTGGGAATAAGTGATATGAGCCAGAGGACAAGCAGTTAAACCTGGGATTAATCAATTCTGACAGGCACTCTTACAGTCTGGAGCTGCACAGCCTGTATTGCCCTTTGGGACCTCTTCCAGTGCACACCCTGCATAGGCCTCCCCCACTCGTGTCACTGTTGCTTCAAAAAGAAGACTGCTTGAAGCCCAGGATTTTTGTGGCTGCTGTATGCAGGGCTTCTTGAAAAGCGGTTAGTGCAGAGGGGCGACCTGCAATTCTGGCTTCCGCGTTGGACCCTGTACGCTGCTTACCGCGTGTTTCCTGATGAGAGAGCGAAGATCTCGGTTTCGTTATCCTCACCCCTCCGTTCAGCACCTTCGCTTGCTGCGAGCTGCGCGAGGAAGCGCGTTCCCTGCAGCGAAGAGGCCAGGCAGCAGGTTGGGGACGTGGGCCGTCAGAAGGGAGGGCCTGATCCCACCTGGAGCTGGGTACCACGTGCCCCCACCCGTCTGCTGGAGAGCATGAGGTTTTGGCTGGATGCTCCGTTGCTCCGGATGAAGATGACCGCTGGACAAGGAGGGGGCCTGGATCTCGCACCGCTAGGAAGCAGCTCCTGAGGCAGAAGCCCGTGGTGCTGAGATGCTGTTGCTGACAATAGCACCGGGCAGAACTGTGCCAGCGCCCTGGGGTCCTGCAGCTGCGATTAAGGGGTCAAAACTAAAGCTTTGTGTTTAAATACAACGCAGCACAAATGTATTGGCACACCTTGTATAAGTGCTGCTGTGCATCCTTATTACTCGCTCTCTGGGAAGATTTTAGCTGCTGGGCTTGGAGTTCTTCACAAAAGCTTTTTCCCTCCTTCTTCCCCCCTCCCCTTTTTTATAGCTAAGCTACAAAATAACTATCGTGGAGTGAGTGTAAAGGGACCCAACCTAGAAATAGTAAGGTTAGAAAATAAATCTGACATACTGCCAGAAAGGTCAGCTTTCCCTGCAGATGCTGGTGCACCCATTTGCACGCTGGAGCATGGCCCTGGGGCACTACCAGGGGTTGATAGATGCAGAGATAGCAGCGTTTTGATAGAGGTAATTTTCCTCAGATGGGTTTCAGCACCCCATGAATCAAAACCTGTCAGCGAGAAGCTAAAGATGGAGTGAAGTTTATTGTACGCGTGTTTGCATCTGACACTGTCATGCTAGGGGGTCAAGTGAGCGAGATCATTAGAACAGTGTTGATTTAGTACGACGGTTATATGCTTTCCCTGCAGGGCAGTGGTGGGGGTAGGAGGAATGGGGGTGGCTTACCAAAAAAATAAATAAAAACCTACAGCTCAGTACAGTCCCTGGGAGCCTCTTTTTTTTTTTTTTTAAAGACGCAGTGCTTTTTTTTGGAAGTGGCTTTTGGGCCATCTTCATGCTAGCAGGATTTGAACACCACAGTCGCCAGTAGTGATTTTAAGAGCACATTGGGATGTTGCTAAGTATGCAGGTTGAATTTTTTTTGTGTGGCCAGGGTTTGTACATCACATTGCTATAGGCAGCAACTTTCCTCTTTCCTTCCCTGTCCCGTGTGTTGATAATTTGTCCCCACATAGTTTCTTCACAAACCTCAGCTTTCGCTGCTTTTCTGGGACACTGCTTCTTTTTGTGAAGCTGGAAGCGAAGGTCCTGGGTTGAGTGACAGCCCTGTGCTCAGCTTCTCTCTCTACTGCTACCCTCATGTGGTCATAGAAAAGGCACTTACCTGTTGACCTTCTCCATCCTCATCCATAAAATGGGGCTGCTGGGGTTGTGTAAGATAGGGGGGTATTGAGGGTGATGACCTTTGCCAGTGACTTCGATATCAAATAACAGAAAGAAGGACTGGCAGAATAAATTAGGTATGTGGAGGTGCAGCAGTTTAATGATAGAGCTGTCTTGAAAAAAAAACCTCCACAGTGGATTTCTGGGAAATAAAGTTCAGCTGAAGTCATGGGCAATCGGGCTTAGTGGGGTTCTGCCAAGGGGGGAGCGTTTGCCATAGCGGTTAGCAGCAGTGATTGCAATGGAGTGTTGTAAATGCACAGAAGGAAGCAAATGTGCTGTTTGGGCCGTGACTGCTGGTGGCTTCCTATGGAGCCAAAGCTTGTGAGAACCTCTGAGTTTTCAATTAAAACTCTTTAGTTGTCCCTGTTGCCACAACACATGGCAATGTCATAATTAATATTGCTGAGCTGGTTGCTATGGTGTCATTTATGTAAGATATTGACACAGCAGAGTTGCCCCGCTGCTTGCTAACGGGGTGCCCGGTGTCACTTCTTGTCAAATTTGGCTGCTGCACCCATGATATCACTTGGTGTGTTTTATGACCTTGAACTTAAGTGGATAAGTGTCCAGTTTGATTCCTCTGCTTGACTGACTAATTTCAGCTTATTCAGGTGGATTATTGGGATTAGAAGTATGTTTTCTCTTGTTTTTGGAAACGGTGTCCTTGTGGGTTCTTGTCCGGTCTTGTGCAGCTTTTTCCAAAACCAGGCCATGATACTGACACCTCTGTTTTCCAAGAATGCTAAACGGCTGTGGGAAGTTGCACATCGGAGTAGCACTTCCAGGGATTTGCTGGACAGTGTTTTGGGCACCTTTCCTCTCGCCTCTGCAGTGATGGCTGGGCTCTCCACTGACCAGGAGGAGCGAGAGTCTGCGCATGGGCCCGGCTCTCCAGGAGAACGAAACATAGCAGATGAGGTTATGGGGTTGAGAGCTGTGAAATGCACTTAATGACAGGGGCGGAAGGAGAAATTATAGGAGTGCAGCTAAGTAACCAGACAGCCTTAGCTGTAGAAATGGTCTGAATGAGGGCTGAGATAGCCAGAGCTAGAAATAAACCCACAGAAAATGGATGCGTTGAGGCTTTTATGGGTAATGATGGGTTTGGCCATTACTGGTGATCAGGACATCAGCGTGGGTGATGACAGTGGAGATAAAAGCAAGTTTTTATGGAGAACCTTGAGAAATGGGGACCTGAAGGCTCTGGGAAAGGTCAGTAGAAATTTACTCGCTCAAGCTAGAAAGAAATGAAATGAGACTGACGAAGATGGGGTGAGTGCTGAGCTTCCATCTCCAAATGAAAATGTTTCCAAGAGAAGTGGAATCTGGTGCAGTGAACAGGAGATCACCTCTTGGAGAAAAAATAGGCTCTGAGACTTCTCATCTTGGGAACGTGTGGTTGGACCTTTGGTCTGCTCTGTCCAGGCTCCTCCTGTCCAGTCATCATGTCAGCTATTCCTTCGAACTACTCTGCCACTGGTAGCCAGATCCATTGTCTAATAGACGTGTATGTGTGTCCTAGCCCATCTGAGATGTGTTGGCATACTGGTAAGCAGAGCCGTAGCGTCAGAGCCAGCGAGTGTTGTCTGCTGTGGTGTTTGTACTGTGGAACTGACCGTCAAATTCCTACTGTTCTGTTTCAGAAGGGCATTGAAGAAGGCCCTTGCGACTGCTGTAAATACTTCCCCAAAATCTAGACCGCATCTAGACAAAGGCAAGGTTTTGGCTGCAGAGTCTGAATTCCTTCCTTGACACGCGTGCGCACCTATGCCGTATGATGGTAGCTGCAATAAGCAACTGTCCCTTGCTTTGCCCTTTCGTCATGCTCAGGTTTGAGTGTGAAGAAATTCCAAGCAAAGATAATATAGTGCTGTAAAGATGGGCAGGCTTGAGGCGGTATGGGACGTTATTTTAGGAAGCCATTCCAGAGACTGTTAGATGAACGCTGCCCCTGCGTTTCTTTCTTCATCGATTACTGCTGAAGGAATAGAGATTTGGACAGAGCTGCCCTCATTAGCTGAAGTGCTCTTCTGGTGCTCTTCTCTAGCATCCGTGCAAGAAATCCCTTATGGATGGTGCACTTTGCCACTGGCAGATAACAAGCCTGGTCAGCTCTCAGGCACCTCTGTTGTCTTGCTCCAACTCTTTTTCTAGCAGGTGGTCTGTAGCCGACTGCAGGAAGACTGGGGGTAGGAGGAACATGATTTACCATAAAATGAGAATGTTGAGACTTTGCCAATAAATTAAATCTTCATCCTTTTTTGTGCCAGAGTGAAGAAGATGAGAAACTGAAGAAGAGAAAGGAGCGGTTTGGCATTGTAACGAGTTCAGCTGGGGCTGGAGCTACAGAGGACACAGAGGTAAAACACGGTTTTGGAGAGGGTGGGGAGTGGCTGAGAGTACTGAGAGGAGAGGTGACTGTCCCAGGAGGTGGCACTGTGACTCTGCATACCTGGGACTTCACTCTGCTGCTGGATCCCCTGTGCTGACTTGGGGCTGACCCTATAGCTCCCATAGTGGCTCATCCTCTTTTCCTTGGCGATGAGTACTGAGCTTCTGCCATCCGATCTGTCATGGTTTTTTCCCCTGGCTCCTGCTGGAAGTAGGCTGCTTTGGAGTTCAGCAAGCCTCAGGAGCATGCCAGCACTTGTTAGCATCCAGCTCCTCGTCTTTCAGAATGGCACAGATGCTTCCCGAAAAGGCAGGAGGGCACATCTGCTCTATTCCTGGTTTTTCACCGCTGTTTTCCCCACCCCTCAATTTGTCTGCGTTGATGCACTGTGGCTGCTCCCTTTCCTTGTACTCTATATTTCCCTCTCTCCTGGACCCTGCTGGACCCTCTTCTTCACCTTGGATAGTTATTGTAGGTCTTCATCAATAAATCCATTGAGGCTCTATAACATAATGAGCATTGAGACATTGACCCTATTCCTAGCGTTTCTCCTTCGTGCTTTGTTCTGTCCCCTTGCCATGCCTGTCCTCTGTGTTCTTGGCCCATCTTTTAAATTTATAGGCTCCTCAGGGCAGTGACCTGGTGTTTTGTGTAGTTTTATGCTTTCTTCTGGTTTGTATTGTTTGCTAGTTTGCTCTACTCTGCCACAGGACTAGAGTTTGTTTTCTGCGGAGCGCCATGTACACCTATGGCTCTACGTAAATAATACTCTAGCATAAGTCAGCGTGAGTCGAGTACCCCTCGCTCGTAGACAAAGGGAATCTTCCTGGATGGGGATTCTTAGGTTAACAATCAAATGGCAAAGGTTGCAGGAGGGCGAGCTGTTGGGTCTCAGAAACTACTTAACCAGATGGCTTCTGGATTTGACATACAAGAAGTGGGTTTTGTTTGGTTCCTAAGAGCAATCTCAACAATTCAGGTGGGGTTTAGGGTTTTTTTGTTTTGTTTTTGGTTTACTGCAAAATGCTTCCCTGAAAGAAATGGTGAACAGCATTCCCAGCCTTCTGCAGAGCATGGGAGAATGAGCCCCCTATTTGGTCCGAGTGGAGGGGGTGGCTGGGGGTGAGGGATTCCATGCTTTTCCGTTAGGTCACTTATAGATTGTGCCTGGAACAAAAAGGTCTTTTTACTAGTATTGTGTGCACTCAAATGCACCTTTCCCCTGGAGATTCTTGATTAGGGCTTCTGTTGCCCCCAGGCTATTTATCCTGCTAAAAATTAAGATTTATACGCCCCTCGTGTATCGGCTTAAAGGCATATCTGAGAGACGCAATAGTATATTTAATGCGTTTTAGTGTGTCCCTCTCACCTTTTCCATGAATAGAAGAGTGTTAACCCTTTGCCCTTTTACATTTCCCACCTCCCCACTGCCTGGAAGGGTTTCTAGGCCTCTAAAGTAGTCATTGTTCCCAGCTCAACCCTTTTGTAGCGCATTGCCAGCAAGATGAAGTGACTTCAGCAGAACTGTATCTCAGGCACTGTATATTTTTGCTACTTGATTTTTGGGCTCTGTTTGTTTGTTCAAATGCTAGAATAAAAACTTCATAGCTCCTTGCCAAACATGGGTATAAAACATTCTCTGAACTAACTCTGTGTCAGTGTACTCAGCAAGGGGTTGGAGCTGCCATGCACTGGTGTTGTGATCTTTACCAAACTTCTAATAAATTCTCCATCAGATTGTGTGAGATTGTAAAGAACTTGTTCATTTTCTTCTTTTTGTTTTTGATTTTTCTTGTAATTCCTCTTTGCAGGCAAAGAAGAGGAAAAGAGCAGAACGCTTTGGGATTGTCTGATGCCAGTCTGTTTTAGCTTCAACCCATTTGCAGTGTGCCTCTTGAGTGCGTGCATACTCTTTCTCTCTCTCTCTCTCTCTCTCTCTCTCTCTCTCTTCCCCACTTTCTCTTACTCCCACACTCTCTCTCTCTTTCTCTAGGTCTTAGTGATGAGTAGGCAGGGAATCCCCCATAGTTGTATGATTGTGCTACTTATTTTTTCAAGTTACAAAGTTTAAAAAAGAAAAGATGTAGAGCAAAAAGAAGAAACTGTTCTTACTGCATCTTTGGTAGCTTGGAGTCCTGTGGTCTGGTTCTGTTTTCCAGCTGCTTGTGTGGTCATTTACAACAGCTCACACCGGACATATCATCCGTCTGGATTAGATGGAGAGTGTCCTGGTGCCCTCTGAACACTGCTGGAAAATGTCTGTGCCAGGTGCAGGAGAGAATCGAATTCTGCCTGTTAAATAGCAGATAGAGCTACTATAGGACCCAAAGCATCCGGTATATGATGAGAAAGGGAAGAAAGGTTCAGGAACGAAGATAGAGCAGGGTTTGCTGCGCCCTTGGCAGTTGCTTTTCTGGTTTGAGAATTCAAGTTATGCTGCTAAAGCAAGGAACTATTTGAAGCGTTGCTCTTCTTTGTCCATTTGTTTTGGTACCGTTTCCATCTCTTGGACTGCCCTGGTCCTCTGTTCCTTTACCTCGTGAAAATGGGCCTTAAGGCTCAGCTGTTTCGTATTCTCTTCCCAGCGGCTAGGGTAAGAACACTCTTTGTCTCGAGAGCACAATGTGTTAACCAAGTTCTCCTCTGGATCCCTGGCGTGTTACCTCCTAGCTTGTCTGAGATCCGTCAGGTTGAATGTCAGGGAAGGATTTTCTCTAGTATATTGTCTCATATTGTCAAAAATGGAATAGCGGCATTTTTGATAGCCAGCATACAGGGTAGTTTCAAGACTGCCTTCCTTCCCAGGGTAAAGCTAATGGGAAGTTGTTAGAGCAAGAATTGCCAATTAACCTTAGATCGAGACTGGTGTCCTAAAATAAGGAGGAAGAAAGTAGCAATGCATTTGTAAATAGAGCCTGTTCTGCCTGCTTCATCCATCCTGCCTCGTTAGGCCCTCTGTGGCTCATGGCGTTTCATACACGTTTTCCAGGTTCCCTTAAGGTCAGTGATACATTTTGCTGCTTTTAAAAAACAATCTGTTTATTCTCAGGCTGGATTTTATTTTGTCCTCTTCTTGCTTCAGAATAACTCTGTCGAGCTGGATAACTCACAGACTTGCTGAAGAAGCCTCAGTCTTCTCCGAGCTGCCAGACAGTGCAGGAAAGCTCCGGTGTTATCCTAGGACCTGTGTTTTAAAAATGTGGAAGTTCTTGGTAGCTGTGTAGGAACACAGTTCCTTCTGCTGCGTAACCGTTCAGTGAAATTGCAGAAAAATTGGCCAAGTCACATGAAAGGCAGCGTTGTTGCAACTTGTTAAGTGCTTTTAGTTGCTTTTAGTGTTTCAAACGGCACCTCTGTTCTTAGGGAGCTGTGAAGAACAATTTCTCGTGTTAGCCTGCATAGGTGGAAGAAGTGGCAGCAGTGGGGAAGTGTAGGGCCTGGAGCCAGTTGCTGTTTGCTTAGCAGTGCTGCGATAGCGAGCGAAGCTATCCGGTGCCCTTTCTTCTGCCTTCCTAGAGAATCAGTTCCACTTGCAAGCATACGTTCCTGCTACGTCTTCCATCTTGTGCAGTGCTTTCCCTCACACTGATACCTCGGCCCCAGGTATAAGCAGAAATTTATATATCTTCTTGGATTTTTAGATGGGCGTTTTGGCCGAAACCCTCTTGTCTGAAGACTTGCGTCCTCGGATTTTTATTTCTGACTGTAACCTCTTATTGGAAAGATATTTGCATTGTGCATACTTGGTTCCTTGAGATGCTAGAGAACAGTGGATGTGTCTACAAATCAAGCTTTTTAGAGGCTTATACCTGACTCTTAATAAGCAATAGATATATATATTTTTAACGTGGAAGTCTCCAAACTGCTTCTGTTCCATTAATGTTTGCAGTCTGACTGCATATGTGTGCCCTCAGTGACTCTAAGCAATACCTTGGACGTTTGTTTACTTTCCCAAAGGGCAGCTAAAAGCCACGGGGTCCGGGTTACGTTGTGTGTCTTGGGTTGTCAGTGGCTGAGTGAATCGAAGCTCCCTTACTCTTTCTTGATTTAATGTAATAACTTTATTCTGATTGGTTTGGTTTTTTTTGTATGTCAGATTTTGTAAGATGTATTTTCTATTTGGCTCATGATCCTTTTGCTCATTATTTGCTTAAAATGTTTTGTAGTGTGCCAGGGCAAACACTGCATTTCATTCTTGGTTTCATAATAAAACTGCTTCTTCAAGGCAATTCTAGTATCTGTCAGTTTGATGTATGTGTAAGCACGTTCTTCGCTCGGGACTGGAGCGCGCCTCCGGGATGGAGCTAGAGCAGCGGAGCGTCGACCCACCGTAACTTGCGTGTTGTCCTCACCCAGGGCACAGAGGAGACCTGCGTGCGCGTCCCCCGGTGCCGTGGCTGAGTCTGCAGAGTGCCCTCCTCGTGGGGGTGGACTGGAAAGCAGAGTCCCTGCCTGGCTGGGCCATCGCCAATGTTTAGGAAAATTGCTAATGTTAACTTCTTGTGGCCTCTGCTAACTCTTAATCCCCTCTTGCCTCTCTAAATTGACCTTGCTGTTTCATTTGGATATAAAACTGCTTGCTTCGACTCTACTGTAACTTAACTGGTAATACATCAGGGCTGTGTATAAATAACAGGATGGTGGCTTCTTTTCATTACTGATAATTTGGATGCTGTAGGCCAAGGGTAATTATTGGAGCTTAAGGGGAAAGGGTAGATAGGATAGATATCTTTTGGAGTCCTAGGCTTCTTGATGTCTGGTTACTTCAAGCACCTCATTGTATTTTAGCTTGAGAGTTGTAAGGGACGGGAAAAATCAGTATATGCTGTGTCGTGAGGGTTCCTGCTGGTCCAGAACCTGTCCCAAAGTTGCAGACTTCTGGTTACTTTTGTAAATACTGAGGTACAGAAGGGTGAAATGACCCTGTAGAGTTCGCACTTCATGGCTTTTGGTAGCGTTTGGTGAAGGCATATAGGACACAAGCCTCAACTTTTGCTCTGATGGTGCAGTTTCGTCACCTTCTCCTTCTGGAGCCCTGAGCAGAACGCGGGAGCCCCGATTTCACTGCCTGTGCCTGTCAGTTGTCCCGGCTTTCTGGACCGGAGAGCAGAACCACGGGCCCCGGCTCCCAGCTCTGCTCTCTGCCTGTAGGAGCCGTTTCTGTTCTGCCTTCCCGGCCCGGAGCAGCACATCTGCCCATCCTCTGTGCTGGGGCGCGTGGATGGCTAGCGTGTGGTGCATCCTCTTGGAGAGGATCAGGCTCCTCTCTTTATAGAGCCCCTGTGTCGTTTCTGCCCCTTCCCTTCCTGGTAGACCTCCTCCCTGGGGGCCGGTGAAACGACATGTGTATGTCCTCCCCCTCCCTCATTCACGCTGTCTCCTCCCCTTGTTCTGGATGAATTTCCTTTGGCCATGGTACCAAAATAACGATGAACTCTGCTCTGCCCCCTCCCTCTTTGGCTCCCCGTAGCTGTGTCCGTACCCCCAGCCCGCTCCGGCAGCTGGGCCCACCAGGTCTACGGGGCAGCGCTGCCCTCGGTCTCCTTCCCCTGCCGAGGTCTGTTCCCCCTGGGGAGGGCTGGGGGCTGTTTTGTAGAGGACACTCCATCTTCTAAATGCTGGGCTTTCCCCTCCTGGGTGTAGGGGAGAATCATTCTAATCACACTGTGTTTAAAACACCACCTAATTTATTTTTCCTCTCCAAGCTGGGGGCTGCTCGTGACTAATTTGGGCTGAATAGGCAAAGAAAAAAAGCAGCGGGCACACAATGAGCGGGGGAAAGTGTGGGAAAGCGAGCGAAAGAAAAGGAGGGCTGGGGCTTGCAGCGTGAGAGCTGGTAATGCCGTGCAGTGCCCAAATTCAGCATGAAGTCACTTTTCACAGCAGACGCTTGGGCTGTAAATGCAAGTGGGACTATAGGTCAGCTCAGTGGGGGGGACTGGGGGGTGGGAGAGGGAGAAACGGTGGGTTTGCACAATGTAAAGGGAAAAGGGGAGGTGGAGCGAGGGAACGAGGTGCACGGGGGGTGCACGCATGCTCCACCGCAAACCAGTGCCAATGTCCGTTCTTCCCAAATGCACTGTCCTCTTCTCCCAATGGCCTCTTGCCCCCAGGTCCTCTGTGGGTGGGTTGGGAGTATCTTTTGTTTAAATTCACCAAAATGAGGAGACAAAAGAGCAGAGCCTGGAAGTGGGTTTGAGCAAGAGGAGGGACGAACGGATGCGTTTTCAGATTTCTTTTTTCCCCACCCTTTCCTCAACTTGCTGCTCTTGCCCTCCCCCCTTCCCCCGGGTCGGCGTTGCGGCCTGCGTCGCAGCCGGCCGCGGAGCCCCCCTCCGCAGCCCTCCACCTGCGCTTGGCCTGCTGGAGCCGCTGAGCTGCGGTGACTCCCCTGGCTCGTCCTCCGCGTTCCCGCAGTTCCTGCAGCGGCTGGGTCTGAGCGGTGCTGAGCTCAGCTCTGTCCTGCCTCTCGCCGTCCTTGGGCTGAGGTGGAGATACGGATGTTGCTGCTTGAGGGCTTGAGGAGACCTGTGCGTTGGAGCTTGGCTGTGCTGGCTGCCGCAGGGTCGTCCTTTCAGGCCGGAGAGGATCGCTTAGGCCCCCCTGGCTCCCGGCACAGCAGGAGTCGGGGAGGTTGGCTCAAGTGATGGCCTGTGCTCCGGAGGAGACGCGGAGGGGCGGCTGTGCTGGATCTGCTGCTGCTTCTGTGCCGGCAGGGGTGAGTCCAGGTGCTGCTGCCTTGACAGTGGCCAAAGGAAGGGGTTTCGAGAGCAGGGTGCTCTGCATGCTGGTGGCCTGCGGGGTGGGCTGCTCATGCGAAGACCTTCCTTCTCTTTCCAGGCTCACAGGTTTCATGTCTCTGCCTGAGGAACCCGAGTGTTGGACCTTGCTTGGCTGGTTGCTCCCGGCCCGCTTGGCCTTTCCCCAGCAACGGTAGGCTGCGTGCGAGAAGCAGGAGCGTGGGCACTGTCCCCCTGTGAGCTGGTTCCCCTTCCATCCTCGGCACCGCTGCGCCTGGGCTGTGGGGAGGCGGAGGTCCCGTAAAAACGTGGTCACTGGGGGACGATGAACTGGGACTTGTAAAGTTTTATTTGCATGCAACTTGCTGCCCTTTGCCTGGGTTCGGGATGGCTTGGGGGTCTTAAGGATCAAGTTTAAATCCTGTCCCCAACACAGACTGGAAATCCAGCAGAGGTGGCTTAGCTGCTAGTGCCCGGGGTCCGAG